CGGTACATCAAGCACTGCCATGGGGCGGCACAAACTCTGGCTCCTCCACCATGTCTCATCTTGACTCCTTTATGATTTTCTTCTCACTGCCTCGTTTGCTTGTACTCCTCTCTCTTTTACTCTTTCTTGTACTCTCGCTTGTACTCTCTATTGCACTATCTCTTGCACTCTCTCTTCCAACTGCCTCGTTTCCTTGTACTCCTCTCTCTTGTACTATCTCTTGTACTCTCTCTTGCACTCTCTCTTGTACTCTCTCTTGCACTCTCTCTTCAAACTGCCTCGTTTGCTTGTACTCTCTCTTGCACTCTCTCTCCCAGCTGCCTCGTTTGCTTGTACTATCTCTTGCACTCTCTCTTGCACTCTCTCTTGTACGTTTTCTTGTACTCTCTCTTGTACTCTCTCTTGTACGCTTTCTCGTACTCTCTCTTGCACTCTCTCTTGAACTCTCTCTTCCAACTGCCTCGTTTGCTTGTACTCTCTCTTGTACTCTCTCTTGTACGCTCTCTTGTACTCCCTCTTGTAATCTCCCTTGCACTCTCTCTTGTAGTCTTCCTCATACTCTCTCTTACACTCTCTTTTGCACTCTCTCTTGTATTATCTCTTGTACTCTCTCTTGTACCCTCTCTTGTACTCCTTCTTGAACTCTCTCTTTTACTCTCTCTTCTCACTGCCTCGTTTGCTTGCACTCTTTCTCTTGTTTTCTCTCTTGTACTCTCTTGCGCTCTCTCTTCTCACTGTCTTGAGGAATTGCAACCTCAACAACATAATATTAACTGATAGTATTTTAAAAAATAATAAATCCAACAATTGTAAGGACTGTTGGCTACGCTTCTCCCTAGTCACCGACATGTTAGAACAACATGGTTCTTTATCAGACCAACTGGAGCCAAACCTAACACACATAACGTCAATAAAGTGAACAGACACATCCAACTACCAGCCATCGTTCGGGCCCTTTTACAGCTTTACCACTTGTCATACTCATTTTTACATCATTCTTTATCATCGTTACAGCCACTCCAGGCAACTCTACACCCTTCTTTAACACGACTCATCTCTACATCCATAACATTCATCTCTATATCCATCTCACTCGTCTATATATCCATCCCACTCATCTCTGTATCCATCCCACTCATCTCTATATCCACATTCTTTTTTTTTTTTAAATTTCATTTACAACACCGCAATGTGTTATTCCCAAAGCTGAAGCTGGCCACCTCTCTCCACCCAGAACATTTCCTTCCTTTCTCAGTTTCTGTCCAGATTTTTTTTTTCCGATGACGCCTTTCTGCTATTGATTGTCTGCCTGTCCCTGCAATTCAATCAAGAATTTCCACGATGGCGACAGCTGTCACATATTGGAAGTGTTGGTGAACAACCTCACCAACTCAATAGTTTCTATTCTCTAGCATGCAAACAAGGAAGAGTAACTTTAAAATATTGCCTTCTTCCTAATCGAATCCCTCGAATGTTTTTTCCCGATATTTATCAAATAAACTAAGGCAATAATTTTTTTTACCATATTATTACAAGCTCCGGTGTCAATGCGACATTTTAACATTCAATCAATTGCAACAGACTCACTTGTCCCAAACTGAAGAAAATTATTCATACAAATCATTTAATTTTGAAAAAAATGATATGAATACAGTAATGGAAAATAAATTTAAAAAAAAAAAAAAGATTAGTTGAAAGAAATTACTATCGTTCTAAGAAAATAAAAGACAAAGAAATGAAAAAACAAAATGTCAGACTTACGGAAAAATATTACCACCAACACACAAATATTTCACATGCGCTTTCAGAGCCGATTCACAACCCATTAGTCTCCCCCCCCCCCCCTTTTTTTCAAGTTTATGACACTATGTTGTCACATTGAACCCCCCTCCCCCCGCCCAAAGGGGGAACAACGACGATAATAACTGCATTTTATGAGCAACATATTATTTATTTATTTGACTTTTATTTTAATTTAAATTAGCTAAGGATTTATTATAATTCAAATAATGTGCTTAACAAATTCAAAACCGACTGTCATTAACCATAAACAGTCATCGGTAAAGCGAAAACATATAATTTCGAGGTCTTAGTGAATGAGAGGCCCGGACAAACTTGTCCGACATATCCACACGTGAGTGTGGCCTGCTTGCACGGTGACACTCCCCCCCCCCCGACCCCACATTTTTGGCGAGTCCACCTTTTATCATTTGTTAGCTTCACAGGTTCCAGCTAACCCCTAAAAAACATTTGGACCACGTAAATATATACTTAACACAAAGACCCATTCTCCTTGACTCGGGCCACAAATGAAATCGATCCTAGATGAAGTTCAGACCAGCAAACGTCGTGGAATGTCGTCATCTCATTTCACTCCGTCCAAGATTTCATTGATTTATTGCTGAGTACGACGGAGGCTCGGAAAATAAAGCTGTGGGAGAGAGGAGATTGTAGTAGAGAGAGGAGGAACTGGGGGAGAGGGGGAGACAGGTCAAGAGAGGGGAATACTAGACTATAGAGGGGAAACAACTGGAGCAGAGAGGAAAAATACTGGAGGGGAGAGGGCAAAACTGGGGAGAGAGGGTAGAACTGGAGGAAAGAGGGAAAAACCGAATGAAAGAGGAAAAACTTTGGGGAGAGAAGGGAGAAACTCGAGTAGAGAGGGAAAAACTGGGGAGAGGGGGAAAAACTGGATAGAAAGGTAAAAACTGATGGAGAGAGGGGAGACTGGAAGAGAGGGGGGAAACTGGGGAGAGAGGGGGAAAACTGGTGGAGAGAGGTGAGAAACTGGGGAGAGAGGGGAAAACTGGAAGAGAGTGAAAAATTGGAGGAAAGAGGAAAAAACTGGGGAGAGGGGGGAAACTCGAGTAGAGAGGGAAAAACTGGGGAGAGAGGAAAAAACTGGATAGAAAGGAAAAAACTGATGGAAACAGGGGGAGGCTGGAGGAGAGAGGGAAAATTGGGGAGAGGGGGAAAACGTGGATGAGAGAGTGGAAAAACTGGAGGAGAGAGGGAAAAACTGGGGAGTGAGTGAAAAACTTGTGGAGAGAGGGGGAGACTGAAAGTGAGGGGGGAACTGGGTAGAGAGGTAGAAACTGGGAGAGAGGGGAGACACTGGGAGAGAGTGGGAGACTGGTGGAGAGAGGGGAGGCTGGAGGAGAGGTGGAAAACTAGAGAGAGAGAGGGAAAAACTGGGGAGAGAGGGAAAACCTGGATAGAGAGGGAGAAACTGGTGGAGAGAGGAAAAAACTGGTGAGCGAGATGGAGAGAAACTGGGGGAGAGAGGGGGAAACTGGAGGAGAGAGGGGACAACTGGTGGAGAGAGGGAAACGGGGGAGAGAGGGAAAACTGGATGAGTGAGGGGAGAAACTGGGGAGAGGGGGAGACTGGTGGAGTAAGAGAAGAAACTGGGGAGAGAGGGGAAAACTGGTAAGAAAGGTACAAACTGTTGAGAGAGGGGGAACTGGGGGAGGGAGGGGAGGCTGAAGGAGATAAGGAAAAACTGCTGAGAGAGAGGGGAAAACTGGGGGAGAGAGAAGAGAAAGTGGGTGAGAGAGGGTGAAAACTGGAGGACTGAGGGGAAAACATGGGGAGAAAGGGGAAACCTGGTGGAGAGATGGGAGACTAGAGGAGAGGGGGAAAACTGGGGAGAGAAGGAAAAACTGGGGAGAGAGGGGAAACCTGGTGGAGGGAGGGGAAACCTGGTGGAGAGAGGGGGAGACAGGAGGAGGGAGACGGAAAACTGGAGGAGTGGGGGGTACTGAGGGTGAGAGAGGAAGAACTGTGGAGAAAGAGAAAAACTGGTGAAGAGAGTATTGGAGAAGATTTAATAATACATTTGTGATCACTCCACTTTCCCTAACCCCCACAAACGGTAAACGGTATGAAATGGAGATGAAATGACAGATTAAACACCCCCTCCCCCTTTCCCCCAAAGGTCAGCATCGTTGTTGTCTCTCTATTTATTTTTTCAGGCTAACTTCGTCGAGTTTCACCAGACAACGGTTTAACTGAACCTCTGTTTTTGTCAATGATGCTTGCTTGTCGGAGTTAGACGTTGTATACCAACTGAGTGGACGTGGTGGAGGCTGGCCTAAACTGTAAGTGGGGGTATTTATCAAAGGGGGAACTGTAACAAATTATATGTCTATATACCTGTATATCTGTTGCCTGTTGATGTCACAATTTGTTTACACCAATTAAGGTCAAGTCTCTGTGTCAAGTTTTTATAATCCTTTCAGAAAAGGGACAACAAATTCTTGGGCGACGTATCCATTCTAATTTTTAAATATTTTGTGTGTGTGTGTGTTAAATGGGGCTACATCGCAGACTTAAAGTTTTCTTTTATTCTTTCGTGTTAAGATATGCAATTTGCCAGCTTGGTTGAAGAATATTTTGTGAGATATGTCACATCGAATATATGCTTACTAGAGGCTTACCCCTAATTAATTTGTGTTAGATTTTGTATAGGTCATCTTCTCTTTATTTATCTGATGGATCTTCGGTGAAGTCATTTTAATTTAGATATATTGACATAGCTTTTCGTTTTGACTTAAGAAGTTTAGTTGGTTGATTTTAAAAAAAAAAAAAATGATCTGACGTGGTTCATCTAATTAAAGTCTTTAAAGTTTAAATTAAAAATCTACCAATTGAAATAGACGTGTCACAAATAAATAATTAAAGAAGCTTTTATTCATTCTACTTGAAAGGGAAAAAAATACAAAAACAACTAACAGATTTTAAAAAAAAATTGTTTGCTGATCGCACGCATGCTCTACTCAAATTGAAACTGAATAAAACATAAACAGTCCGTCTACAAAACAACCCAAATGGGTCAAGGCACCCGAGGTCATACATTAACAGCTGCTGCACTTTTTGCTAGGATAGAAACCACCAAGCTATCACGATTAGGCTACACCCCAACACCATCGTACCCCCACCTTCTTTTCAAGTTGCCTCTTCAGTCTGTACGACCACATTGTTTATCGCAACGAAAGAGTGGTGGAACAAGGGGGCTGCACTCTCATGCAGTGAAATATTCCAGTGGGATTCAAACCGATGTTTATGTGCTCATCACTGAGGGACTGACACTACTGACAACTGCTACTAAAAGTAGCTAATTAGCCTCTAGTAGAGGCTAATTAGCTCTAGCTGTTGTTGGAGTGTTGGCTACAATGATTTTAACGTGTACTCCCAAACGTTGCTGGCTAAAATAAAATAACTCGTTAGCATGAAAGATGAAATGAATTGATCATATTAATAATTATATTTAATATAATTATTAAATTATTATTTTTATGATTCAAAATATTGGTACCTAATATTTTAAAATTATGACATTTTTTGTTTGAATTACACTCAATCAGTCCTACACTTTTAGTCTTACTTAGTCCTTAGTTTTAGGCAAAGTAGCCAACTAAAAGTAGTTAAAACTTAACTTAGTGTAGTGTAAGCCTAGTAAGCCTAGTCTACCTATTTTAGTTTCATAATACTATTAATACTATAAGTATATCTTCCATCCTAAATCCTAAACTTATTATAAAGTTATTAAAAGTCAACATATTCACTTTATTCAGTCTTCATAATTCAGCTGTGACTTTCAGTCTGGGGCCCACTGGGAAAAAAGGGGGGGGGGGGGGTGTGTCTTGTGTCAAATGGCACTCTGCCTAGGCTAGACCATTGTAGGTAATTTTATTTTTCAACAGGAGTTCTTAAGCTGGTGCAAGTTTAATACTGTTACCATTTTGGGACTGCACAGAAGCCTGCAGGCAGGTAATCAAGCAATGTCCCTGAATTTACTTTCAACGAGAACAGCCTTCAGATGTAGACAGTTATGTCATTTTCAAGGTGCAGATAAGTTTTATATTGTTTTTATTATTTCAAAATATACTTTCAATTTGCATATTCAGGTAGTCATTTATTCAATCTTTTAAGAATTATTTTCCTTTAACTTTAACACAAATTCATCAATTTAATCAATTAATGATAAATGCAAAACTGATCAATAATAATTTGTTGTATATTAGTATTAGTATTATTATTATTATTATTATTATTAGTGGTGGTTTTATATAGCGCCTAGGGCTGGGCTCACCACACTGTACATACAATTTAACAAACATAATCATGAACTTAAAAATTAACATACATTAATTAAATAAAACAAAACAAATGTATATTCACTCCACACATTCAAGAACTATTTACATATCAAGCCATGGACGGCTACCCAGCAGCATCGTTTTATCGACCAGAGGGGGGGAATCAGTCAGGATAGTAGAGTTTAAAGAGATGTGTTTTGAGAGCAGTTTTGAAGGCTATGATGGTCAGTATATTGCGAATGTGTAGTGGAAGAGAATTCCATTGTTTGGGGGAACAGAAAGAGAATGATCGTTCACCGTACGTTTTATGCAAGTCTTGGGGAATAAAAAACTATTTTAAAAAATCATCTGTAATATTCAAATGAATTTTTAGTTAATGTTGTAATCAATTCTTTAAAATTCCAGACCATCATAATCATTAAGTACTATTTATTATTAATGGTCGTTTTAAAGAATTAGCTGCAGTCTGGCAGCTATTTCTTGTAATTGTTTGAAAGTGAAATTTATTAATTTGGAATAAATTGCACCCAGACCTCTAAGTCTAAGCAAATGATATTAATTTTAAATAAAACAAAAATAAACTGCTAAAGACAATTTTAGACATTTCTTTATAACATTAATAGTACTTATAGGTTTTTAAATGGTGAAAAAAATTTAGAAAACACATAACTGTGGGCATTAAAATACTTATGATAGCAAACTCTGTTAAGTGGGAGAGAAGGTAAAAAATAAATTCTAATGTCGATAAGAGAAATTTTAAATGTTATAATCCAAGTCTTTCTAGGTCAAAGGACTTGCAGTGAATAAGCTGTTAATTTATTATGTCAGGATAATTTTGGCTTTTAGTATACAGAAACGATAGTTAGCGATTCAGCTCACTAATATACTCATTACTAAAATGATAATAAAGACAATGGTAGTAAAGGGGTATCAATAAAAAAGAATTTATAAAATTAAATACTAAAATATTTGGTTAACATATTAATGCATATAATCAAATATTTAGTAAGTCGTCAAATTTAAAAAAAAATTGATTGCAGTGCTATTTAGTGGTACCTTCAGATGGAGCAAAATGAGCTACTCAGTAACACCAGCTACGAAAGAAGAGCCAACAGCCCCAATTATTGTAACACCCGTCCCAGGACCTAAATCACAGTTGCTTAAGGAAGAACTTGACCAAGTGCAGGTATATTCATTTATAGGTGTCATATGATGTCTCACATCAGGAACTGGCAGCACTGCTAGTCTGACTGCCTTCTGATTTTCATAAATTAAACAAATTCTATTTTATTTAACAAAACTCACAAGTACCCATTGCAAATTTATGTTATCACTTCTCAAACAGTCTGAAGAATTAGAATTTTAAATGTTCTGATAGCAAAGAATAGAATTGTATGATCAAGAATTGTCCATCATATTTGCTGGTCACCCTGGATGTAGTATTTCACCTCCTCATGAAATGCTCAATGGTTTACTTTGATATAGTTGGGTGCTGGGTGGCCGAGCGGTCTAAACTGTCTCAAACCAAATAGCTGGTGGTCTGGAGTTCAATCCCCGCCAAAGCCAACTTCTCAAGCACTCCGGTTGGATGGGACTCGTTAGCCTTGGACGGCAACCCATCTAAGAGAAGGCAAACTCTAAATTTAAACCAGGAGCCAGAATGATCAACAAATTGATCGTGGGCCCCTCAAATATAAGAAGAAGAAGAAGAAGGCTTATGATTTTTGGGGAAGGGGGATAGAAAGAGATAGTAGCAGGCGCAATAATAATTTAATTTGATCAACTGTGTGCCAAAAATTTACGCTCAACCATACAGAGAAATTTGCTGAGTTTCTAAAGATGAGAAATAAAACTGAGCTGTCAATATTTTTTGCTTTTTCCCTTAGAACACAGATGCAGTTCAATTCTTTGTTGACTACCAGAAGAGTGTAGGGAACTACATTGCTGATGTCGATGGGAACTATTTATTGGATCTCTATACACAGATAGCCAGTATTCCCATAGGTCAGTTTTATGAAAATATGCTATGAATGTCAAAATGGTTTCTTTGCTGCTAGTTTAGAGTAAAATCTTAATTTCAATTTTTTTACCTTTTCAATATTTTGTTATTCTGGTTTTGGTTTTTCTTTGTTCAACCTTGGGCTCATCAAGCATGTCACTAAAGTACAGTGTGTGCTGATAAACCAAAACAAAAAAGGCTACAGTTAACTTTGCCTATAATGCTCATGAGTTTTACAAATTCTGTTGACAGACAAAAGGGCAAGGATATAATATTAACTTATAAAAATATGTACCCAAAATTTATCCTAAGAATCATAATGTATTAGAAGTAATTTTGATGCCCCAGTGTTTTGTTAATTGTGGAAAGTATGTGGATATGATTTTCTTTTCCTGACATTTTCAAAAGACAACAGGACTCTACTGCCATTTTATGTGTAGGCTACATGAGGACTGTGATCAGCCTGACAATAGGGGTCCTTATTTATTGTCAGATCTCATGAATGACGTGGACTATCAGTTCCAGCTTTCCTGTGGGAACTATGAAGGAGTTAAAAATGTCCTTTGTTTGGTCCATATATTTTTCTGAGAATGTTTCTCTCCCATGTGTTTAATAGGTTTTCTGCTGGTTTTTTAAGGAAATTTTTTCTTTTATTTCTGTTAGTAATTCATTTTTTTCATTAAAAAAATATCCTAGGTATTTGAATTGATTTAATTTTTCAAAAGAGTGGTTTCTTATTTAAATGATTTCATCTGTCTGTTCTTCTCTAAACATTGTCATGTATTTTTTTTTTTTTTTTGTTGTTAACTTCCATCCCTGCTTGTAGTGATCTGTATTCTATTCATTAAAAAAATATCCTAGGTATTTGAATTGATTTAATTTTTCAAAAGAGTGGTTTCTTATTTAAATGATTTCATCTGTCTGTTCTTCTCTAAACATTGTCATGTATTTTTTTTTTTTTTTGGTTGTTAACTTCCAGCCCTGCTTGTAGTGATCTGTATTCTAATTCAATAAAGGCTTTTGATATGTCTTTACTACTTTTCCCTAACAGTGCTATGTCATGTACAAGATACTGAAGGGGTTGAGTGTAGAGAAATCCTATTGTTTGTGGTGTGGGTCTTGGGCTTCCCTCAGAAAGTATCCATTTGATTGTTCCTCATAATAACACATGCTAGATATAGAGGCATTGAAATAAAGCATACATAGATTAAAAGTGAAACAAGATGAAAAACTTCTGTTTTATTTGATTGAATGCAAGCAGAGTCATGCCATCACTGGCAGTCCCGAGTGACATGTGATTTCATTACTATCTTTAAATAAAAGTGAGAGCGCTGTGTCAGGACATACTCAGATGCACTTGGATGCATCCGTTGGAACACCTGAGGATGCATTTAGTTGCAACTACAGGGAATGAGTTAAATAAAAAACAAGAAATGGCAATCGGATTAAATAAAAGCCTGTTTAAATTTTTTTATTCTTAGGAGTTTATTTTTCGATATTCATGCGGCGTTTAAATAGTTTTTTACCTCTTGTAGGTTACAACCACCCCAGAATCCTGAAAGTTCTCACAGACCCTGAAAATTTGGTTAGTATAATGTTATATTCTTTTCCTTGGATATTTGGAATAAATTAATAGATTAATAAATTAACCATCACTTTTAAAACTGGAGGCTATTGGGTTTGAATATAATAAAAAGCTAGGCTCAACCTTACACCTTATTAATCATTTGTTATTAATAATTTCATTAACCAAGATTTTAGTATGTTTTTTTTTTTTGTTACCTGGTTCTTTTTGTGTTTTTTCACCTTAACTGTACGGTCCAACTATAGAGAAATCCGTCTTTTTCACCGGATAGGAAAGGGGAGGAGCAAATTTTCTATTTAGTTAAATAAAATTAGCATTATAATAAAATTGTTTTAATTTATAAAAATTAAGGTTTTAAATATAATTATCATTGTTTTTAAAAAAAAATTATTATTATACGAATCGCGAACGAGACAAGTTTACGTCGTCCATTTTTTTTTCTAAATGCGAATGTAATCGAGCCAGCTGCTTCAGAAAAAAATATTTTAGATTACAAAATGGACTTAGAAAACAATGAAATTAACTCAGATGAATCCCTAAGTGACTCTTCTGATGATTTGGATTCAGATTAATATGAAAAAACATCGAATGAAGATGTGGATGTTTTTCACACTTAAATTATGATTGTAAGAAAATACACAATCATTTTCAAGCACCATTTATAAAATATGAACATCCATTCATTTCTGAACAATTAAATATATAACATGATGGGTATTTATTAGCTACTCATTTTATGGGTATCCCATTATGTGTGATGACCTAAAAAAAAAAAATTAAAAAAAAGAACCAAAAAATCCATGAACTGCAAAGATTAAATCTGTTATGATTAACAATGTAATACAAAACAAGTGGAAGCAACTGTTAAGTTCCTTAAATAACGAGAGAATTATTATGTGTTTAAAATTTAATAATCTTTCTGTTGATAATACAAAAAAGGAAAACCCTTCTAATTATTGTCATATAGCAATTTACTAAAGACATTTGTTTAGTAATTAATATGTGTGGATCCCACTTTGAGCTCCTAGTAGCATTTTTGTGCATATTTTTCTATATTTTATTCTCTTTTAGAGCTCGTTTGCCAACAGACCAGCTTTGGGAATATTTCCTCCGTCAGACTTTGTAAAAAATGTTACAGAATCTCTCTTAGCAGTAAGTCTGTTTATTATGTGATCAATAATACCTTAATGATAAAAGTAATGTTATATTTGATGGAACACCTGCAAAAGAATCTTGATAATACAAGTATGAAACGATTTTAGTTTTGTATAAATATACTAGAAGCATTTCACATCATTTTTACATAGAATTTTGACAATATTTTATTATAATTTACAATGTCAGGTGGCTCCCCCTGGATTAAGACAAGTACAGACCATGGGTTGTGGGGCTTGCTCTATTGAACATGCCTTGAAAGCTGCATTCATGGCATTCAGAGTGAGTAGACATTGTAATGACTTAACTATCTTGGTAGAAATATTCTCTCAGTTAAATATGAATATTGTTTCCTGATAACATCCTTGGAAAAAATATCCTTTTAATATTAATTAGTAACGTGTATATTATATTTTGTGCATTTTATTATCATATTTTATATAAATGACCATCTGGACTGGAATTTTTGGAATTTTAGTTAGGAAATCAGTTAGGAAGCACCAATTAATGTAATTTGGGATGATAACACATTTGAGGGAATCGTGCTGTGACCGTTTAAAATAACTGAGAATTCTTGAATTAATATTTATCTCTTTTACAGAGAAAGGAGAGGGGAGGTAAACCCCCCAGCAAGGAAGAGCTCGAATCAAGTTTATGGAACAAACCTCCTGGCAATCCCAACATTTCTGTTCTGTCTTTTAAAAATGCATTTCATGGCAGAACCATGGGTAAGGGATATAGAGAGAGAGGGAGAGAGAAAGAGAGAGAGAGAGAGTAAACTGTTAAATATGTTTCTATATTATACATGGTCATAATTTGTTTAAAAGTTTTTATGTATAATTTCTAAATAGCCAACATTTAATCATGTTTTAAATTATTTATATATATATATATATATATATATATATATGTATATATATATATATCTATCTAAGTAAATTGTAAGGTAATATTAGTTTTGTTGTACATTTATCTTTGTGAAACTATAAATATATGTTTAAAACATGTCTGTAGGATGAATCACTTAGTAATAATAAGCAAGATATTAAACAAGTCTTACTTCAGTGACTTTTTATCCTTATTGGAAACATTTCTTCTGTACAAAAAAATGCTGGGTTCTAGAGCCATGCTTAATAATAGAATATCCTTTCTCAGTGGAAACAAAACAACAACAAAAACATTTTCATTAAATGCAAATCTATTATCTTGCCATCCAGGTGCTCTGGCCTTGACCCACACAAAATGGAGTCACAAACTGGATTTCCCAAGCCCTGACTGGCCGATAGCTTCATTTCCTAGGCTCAGATATCCATTGGAGAGTTTTAAACAGGAAAACAAGATTGAGGAGTCCAGATGTTTGGCTGAGGTAACACCACACCTAGAGTAGACTAAGTGTTTATAAATATTGGTATAAATATTAATATGTACACTAGAAATCTATATCACTAGGATACATAGGGGCATATATTGTCACTGTAACTCTCTAAAGACACTAGTCAAATTAGTAAATATTTTTTTTTAGAAAATTGTGTTATTCAAACTTCATAAGAATTAGGACTTCCTCCTCTCCTGTGAAGATGTTTTCCAAATTGAGTTAGTGGAAAGTACATTTTCTGTCACATGATTGAACCAAATGTTTCAAGAGCTTTTTGTAAAGTAATTAGGTTTTTATTGTCTCCTGCACAACAGACCTGTTTACCCTCAAACTCTTAAAATCGTACAATATCCTCACAAAATAGTTCAATACACTATCTTAAAGTAAAAAATAAACATACAGTATATATTATGTATGCATCTCAAAATTGTACATTGTACACCGAGATCGTAAGAGTAAACAGATCTGGTACAATTTCAAAAACCTGACTTGTTCATTTAGAGAGATAAGGCCACAATATAAATGTTCCCATGACTAGAGCCATTAAAACACATTAGCCCTGAATAATAGCAAATATTTCAGTGTGGCAAGTTTCCTTTGAATTAATGCCATTTAATTTTAAAACCATTTCGATATCAGCTGTTTAAAAACTTTTTACAGGTTGAAGAGTTACTGGAACTTTACAAAAGGAAAGATAACCCAGTGGCCTGTATTGCTATTGAGCCCATCCAGTGTGAGGGGGGAGATAACTTTGCTAGTCCAGAATTTTTTCAAGGCCTGCAAAATATCTGCAGGAAAGTAAGTTGTTACAAGCTGAAGCTGATTTTTAGAGTGTGTGGTATATGTGGACCTACCAAATAGCTTAATACATTTGTAAGTCATATATTGCAACTTTTTTGGTAAACTATACAAGTGATCCTGACCCAAAGTCAATACATCGCCATTAACATGTTAATCCCCCTAGATACTACCTACATTGTGTGTACTAAACAACAACTGAAGCGTGGTCAACTTTATTGTGCAAGCGAAATTAATGCCATCCACAATGGAACTATCAATAATCCTAAATTAATTAAACGTAACAACTCTCATTCAAATTAAAATGAAAGAACTGGAATTAATGTAAAAGTTAAAAATACAACATGTAAATAGTTTTATTTTGAAAGTTCAACAAAATAATCACATATTAATTTTTTTTAAATTCCTCCTGCTGACGTTGTTATAGAACATATTCTACATTTTCATTCTTTTAATTTTAAGCCACAAAATCTTACATGCCCCATCCCCTGTTCTTTCCCACCACACACCCTCTTCGCACACAGAACACAATTGCTCTGTTGATTGATGAAGTGCAGACCGGTGCCGGGACCACAGGGAAGTTCTGGGTACATGAGTATTTCAACTTGAGAGACCCACCTGACCTTGTGACCTTTGCCAAGAAGATGCTGACAGGGGGGTTCTACTACAGGGATCATCTTCGGCCAACAGAGGTAACTAGTTGTTAGTGGGGTCAGAGCTGACGGGGGGGTTCTACTACAAGGATCATCTTCGGCCAACAGAGGTAACTAGTTGTTAGTGGGGTGAGAGCTGACAGGGGGGTTCTACTACAGGGATCATCTTCGGCCAAAAGATGTAACATAGTTGTTAGTGGGTCAGAGTTGTCAGGGGGGTTCTTCTACAGGGATCATCCTCGACCAACAGAGGTAACTAGTTGTGGGGTCAGAGCTGACTGTAAACACTACACTAGTTAAACTTTTACATTTCACAGAACGGAACAAATTACTAGTGATTAAATGAAAGAGATATGGGAACACTTCATTAGTGAGATCATATGGTGAATCAATATGAGGAAAGAGTTCACCATTGAATATATTTTGAACATTTTAAGCCTGGTATATTATGTTTTATTAATTTACTTATTTCCCTTCATTATTTGTAAAACATGTAAGAACTGTACTGGCAATAAAACTCTCATCCAAATTGTACAAAAACACAGGATATCAAGATTTATTTAAACCTGTGGGCAAGTCAGTTGTATCTATGGTGCTTGTTGTGTCACACAGGGATACAGAATATTTAACACCTGGCTGGGGGACCCATCAAAGGTGATCATGTTGAAAGAAGTTCTGGCCATCATTAAAGATGACCAACTGTTACAGAGAACGGCAGACACTGGGAAATATCTGGTACAAAATTTGATGGATGCCCAGGTAATAGTTTAATGGTGACTTTTAACTTTACCCCAAATGATTCTTGTTTCTGTAGACTTTCTATACTACCTATTAAGCCAAAGGAGGGTTATGAGTGCACCTAATGGCTATTGCAAACCCCTTGGACAAATCAAATAGGCCTGGGAATTATTAGAGATCATTACCAAAAGCCACTTCATGAGGGGTTCTGAAACTTTAGAATTCTTGCCTATATTTATAAATTAACCAAACATTAACCCTTTACAGTCCAAACCTATTCAGCCTTGTCTACTCCCAGCGCCCAAGCAAAGGGACATAACTCCATTTTAAATGAAGGTTCTTTATCTAATTAATTTACAGAAAATAAACTAGAAGCAACAAAATAAAATAAAAACTACCTAAATACAAAGAAATGATTAAAGCAAAAGTTAAACCTAAAAATAGTTTCAGAGACCCTCCCACTCATGAAATAGTGAAGCTTCATTAGGCCTAAGTTCTTTCAAAAGTGTATCCAAGGCTTAGATAGCCATTTTTTACAGCGGAAAAATCGCGAATTTTAAAAAAATCATAGAAAATAAGCCCCTAAACACACCGCAGTGAAACTAGTATCGAAATAAATGCAGACAACGAGGCTTTCTTCCGGTAGAACTATAAATAGTAATGCGCAATGGATTTCCGCTGTGCTAAGAACGAAAGTAAACACCTCGAAACGGGCGGGTTCGGCCTCATCGGACTGTAGGCTTGAGAAAAAATCGGCGCATTTCGGGCGCATCAGACTGTAAAGGGTTAAAAGAATGTTAAATTAGTGTGTTTTAAAACAAAAGGCACAGAGTACACAGGTGTCCAATTAGAACTTAAAACATTCTATTTTAACCCTCTATAAGCCTCCAGGATTTGTTGATGTAATATTCTATGGAATAAAACCTTGCAGTGTGGATTAGAATTAATATTTTTGCCTTTGAGGCAGTTTTGAAAGGGGGCAGAGAATTCAGCTCTACAAACTGTAACTAAGGTTCAGCCTATGCCATTTTGTTTCTTATATTCATAGACCAGATATCCTAAACTGCTATCAAGGTCAAGAGGGCTGGGGGCCATAGCTGCAGTGGACCTACCTGATGTCCAGACAAGAGACAAAGCCATTGTTAAAATGAGAGAACTTGGTAGGTCATTCCTGCTTAGGTTTTATTACAGGAAGAGATCACAATGTGAAGTAGCTTCAAATAGTCTAGTATAAGAAATAGTCTTCCACATTAATGGAAATGCAGCACAAAAATTGTCCTTAGGTTTGTGTAAAGTAGCTTTTAGATGGCATTTTAGTTTTGCTCGTTTATGACACTCATGTTTATTCACTTTGTATTGATCACGTCAGACCTGGTTACTCGTACAATTTTGGCATTCCAGTACAGTGTATGCTTTTGAGATCTTATTTATGATTGTACGCCAAGACCTTTAAATATATTCTCATAGTTTTTATCATTTAACAAAAACAACAAAAAAACTAACCCTTTTCAATTGTTATTTTTAGCTCTCAATGAACTTCCTAGATACAGCAACAGTAATATTTAGCAAAGTTGCCCAAATGACAAATTTAATTAAAATTCACTGTTGTTTGCTTTTGTGCCACATGATGTAGCAACAGTTTTATGAATACATTCTCAACTGCTCCACACAACAGCATTAAAGTTGACATATTTTAGAAGATCTAGTAAGCGGAATTTGAAATCCATTTTTAGAAGTCACTAAGCAGCTGTACTATTTTAATACCCCATTTGGTTCAAGCACACCACTTCCCTTCTCCCACTACATCTTGCTGTGGTTATTAGGCTATAATGTGTTAAAGGAAAATAAAATCGGGCACCTAGGCTTAATGCAGTGGTGGCCAACACAGGACCTGCCCTGTTAAATATCATGGCCCAAGGGATGTATCACAAATGAACTTATTTCTTCATTCAATTAGTGATTATGTTCACATTTTGGCATAAACGCACATTTGAAATATATAGTAGGCCTATACCTCATTCTTTGTGATGGTAAGAACCATTTCCATGTACTTGAACTTTTTGGGACTGATTAAAATTTAAAAAATGATTGAAATAAGCAATCTCTGAAGTGTTTTACTATGTAGTAACTACTAAAGTAAAAAGAATTTATATAACCACAGGTAGAGGGAATCTAATATTTCATAACATTATGATGTAGTGTAGAATGATGCAAAACTTAATTCAGGTATACACAAAAGTGCATTCGTGCATTTTAAATTTATAAAAAATGTCTTGGATGGGGGGTTCGGCCCCCTACCCAAACCCCACTTTTGCGGAGGTGACATGCAGGCATCTCTGATTTCCGCCTCTTCACCCCATTTTTGTCTATCAAAGTTGCAAAGACTTTGGTTAGTGACCTTGGACATACAATGCCAATAGTTTTTGCATACATAGTTACAATGCGGTGTATGATTGTGAGGTGTTTAATTACTCTTCTGATATTGTACTAGTTTGGGAATTCCAGAGCAACCAGGTCTGCTATAGTAAGATTTCACATTGTTTTTATCATCCTGAGAGTTATTTAAGTAATTTTTCTCAATATATTAATCATCAACACAAAGTTGTCTAAATTTAGGATTTACTTTGATTAACCCATGAGTTTAGTTGTAAATAAACTGTAAGGACAAGGTTCAATTAACGACAACGTTGACCTAAACATTGTGTTCTTTATGTTGACCAGGTGTTCACCTTGGGGCATGTGGAGTATCAACCCTCAGAATCCGGCCAACCTTGACCCTAGAGAGGAAACACGTTGATGTTTTTGCTGAAAGGTTTGACAAAGTTCTGAAACAGTTGTAAAAGTTAAACTCCTTATCACTGAGACATGGAAACCAAAGATCAATATATTCTCAATACTAGAGTCTGTCCCGTCCACCCCCCCCCCAAACCACACACAATTAATTTCATGACTTGATACCTGTTAGAACTTCCCTTGCATTTAATTTCATGGGGATGATCTTGAGGTGTTTATTGAGGGAAAACAATTTGATGGGCAGAAGTTAGTGCAATACAGGGTTACAAGTTATATGTAACAAATTTTGATTATGTTAGAGAAATTAAAGGTTATAGGCTACAAACAAGACTTAACATTTTTATTGGTACCCTAATATTTTAAAATAACATGTTCTAATAGCGTTCATATTATAACAGTTGTCAATGGTGGACAAATAATTAAATGTCTTGCTGTGTAACATTACTAAAGTCACTTTGCATACATTTTAGTTGTATTATAGTGGTATGTTGTCCTTGGAGATGTGTCAGTCATTTAGTTTAAGTTCAATATTGTTGTTCTGCTTGCTTTAAATCATCCTTTCATTTTCCCAATTGGAAGAGTTCTCCACCAAAGGAAAGGTGACAAAAATGGTAAAACTTGAATGAAGCTAGACCAAAAGTCTTCCTCACCATCTTATTGTTACATCCCAAAGTTTGAAATATAATACTTACCTAGTCTTTATGTACCCACACAATGGGATTGTTTTTTTTGTTGTTGTAATTTTTAATGTTCACATGATGTCACCTGAAATAAATATGTGTTTTCATATTAACTATTATGTAATATTAGTTTTGTGTTTAATAATTAAACAGAGTCATTGATAATTTAACTATTAATATTTTTAGCTTACAAGTATGTAATATATTGTTTTTGTTTAAGTTTGCCAAATGGTATATTGGCCCAAAACAACTGATCATATTTGTTAGAGCTTTCCCAATATTATACAATGTTGTCATCTATTGATGATGTTGACAACTATGAAGGATGTTAACATCTATCAACAATGTTGACATCTATCAACAATGTTTACATCTATCAACAATGTTGACATCTATCAATAATTTGGCATCTATCAATATAGTGCAAGTAGAGAAATATAAGTACTAAGGTGTCACCATTAATAGTAATCAGCTTACATAGCATGAGCACGGCCCAATTCTGTATATGAAAGTCAACCAAAGACTTCTCTATCTTAATAAATTGTAAAATTTCCGTGCAAAGGAACAAGGATATTAACTTATTCTGCAGTGCAACAAATGGAAGCCTACTTAACTTCTGTATTACCTGCTGGCCTTGGAATTCATCTCCTGACATCAAACACTGAATAAACTCATCAAGAGAGCTAGTAACATCACACAAACTAAACATCCTTCACTTGAAGAACTACATGAAGAAAAATTCTGTTGTAAAACTAAACATTTTTTTATACGTCCCACCCTCTTCATGACGGATGCCTAAAGGATCAGTCTCTATTAAAGTTAGGACCCAAAGATATGAAAAACTATTTAGTTCCCCAGTCTGTACAAATTGACCAGTGTGCTCCCCCAGCTTTTACCAAATCAAAATGACCACTAATTACTGTCACCAAAGGAGTACATTGATGGCTTGTGTTTACATTGTTATTATTGGAACATTTTGTCTTGGCTAAAATATGTTTTTATTGATGTGCCAAAAATGAATGTCTACAATGTAATCAAAAACATTTCCATTTATTTGGATGAATTAAAGAATCTTATCTTATCAAGACTCATGTGTTTTAAAGTTTACTTGATGCTGCGTGGCCGAGTGGTCTAAACTAAGCAAATCTCAAGTTGGTGGTCTACAATAACCATAGTTCATTTCTGTAACACTTATTTTATAATAGCAGCTCTATAGACGCAGGGGATATTCTACAGTTTATGATGTATGAATAAGGCTCCCAATGGTTTATTATGGCTGTAAATTATTATTGAAATGAGGTCATTATTGATTGAATCATCTCAAGTGCAATAAGTTGCAAAGGGAGATAAGGAACCACCCTCTGTGATGGCAAATGTCCAAGACAAGAAAGTTCCTTGTTGGTAAAGACCACCACCCATTAGTGGCTTTTTATTATTGAACTTTCAAAAGTTATTTTGATTTACTATACAATTTTTTTTAAAAGGAAGAGAAAAAAAAATTTCCAACTGGTAAATCTATAACTTGGCGGAAAATAATGTTATGTAAATAGTTGAATATGGAGTGTGGGTTTTCAAATGTGAAACTCTTAGTGACTGCCAAACTCATTGACACGAGGCGGGTGTGAAGATAGAGAGCAATGTTCCTGGTTTGAAAATAGCATAAACGGGGTCAAAAGCCTTCATCTAGCCTTTATGGTCGATGACTTTACCAGACTACCAACAGGGACCCCTGGCTTTACCAGACTACCAACAGGGACCCGTGGCTTTACCTGTCTACCAAAGTGTTAAAAGATCACCAAACTACCAGAAGATATCCATGTTACACTGAAAATGTGGATTTGTGGTCGGATTGTATCCCTTTTCTATCAGAGTCGGAGCCCAATCACATTTTAACTGACTCCAAATCTTAGAAACTTTCTTGTCCTTGTGTACAATTTTATCCGCAGCCATTAAGTACAATCACAGTCAGGCAGCACTTTTTTGGCGCAACAGCCGATTCTCGGAGAGAAAAAAAGAGAGAATACATCCGGCTTTGAATAAGTTGTAAATGATCAATGTGGCAGTTCGTCCGCTGGAAATAGATTATGACCATATTAAACACACGCTTACTGCTGTGGGTGCGCAGATGGCTGATCAGGCCGATTCTGGCAGGAAATTATCTGGTGCAGAAGGTGCTAGGAATGGATGGCAAACTCCAGAGTTATCTTGTGCTTCTCTGTCTTGTCTTTTGTGTTCTTCAGCAGCTGTTCTGTTAGCATCATGTTGCACTGAGGCCTTTTGTCGGGAGGAGCGCCACAAGTTTCGGTCCTTTTTGGACCGTTCCCACATGGTGGGGTCAATGTCAAATGCTTTCAAAGATGCTTTCAGTGTGTCTTTAAAACTTTCTTCCGCCCACCAGCAAACCGTCTGCCCTGCTTAAACTCATTTATAAACTATTCTTTTGGGCAAGCGGCCGTCTGACATTGTCGCAACATGGCCCGCCCAGCGAAGCTGGTACTGTATTAATAAGGTGTGTACGCTTGGGATACGTGCTTGTGCGAGTACCTGGGATCTTGTCCTGCCAGACCTTTTTGTGCGAGTATATCAGTGTCTGGGATCTTGTCCTGTCATTTGATGTTGAGGATTTTTCGGAGGCTCATCTTGTGAAAGTGGTTTAGTTTCCTTGCATGGCGTTGATAGACTGTCATGTGTCACATGCATATAGTAGCGTTGATAGACTGTCATGTGTCACATGCATATAGTAGCGTTGATAGACTGTCATGTGTCACATGCATATAGTAGCTTTGATAGACTGTCATGTGCCACATGCATATAGTAGCGTTGATAGACTGTCATGTGTCACATGCATATAGTAGCTTTGATAGACTGTCATGTGTCACATGCATATAGTAGCTTTGATAGACTGTCTTGTGTCACATGCATATAGTAGCTTTGATAGACTGTCATGTGTCACATGCATATAGTAGCGTTGATAGACTGTTCATGTGTCACATGCATATAGTAGCGTTGATAGACTGACATGTCTCACTTGCATATAGTATCGTTGATAGACTGACCATGTGTCACATGCATATAGTTGTGTTTATAGACTTTCATGTGTCACATGCATATAGTTGTGTTTATAGACTTTCATGTGTCACATGCATATAGTTGCGTTGATAGACTGTCCATGTGTCACACGCATATAGTTGTATTTATAGACTTTCATGTGTCACATGCATATAGTTGCGTTAGGAGCAAAGATGCCTTTTAAATTTGCTTTAGTTTGGGCGCTGATGCCTCTCCTTGTCCATCCATTCTTAGAAATTTTTCAAAATGTTTCGCTGGCTCTTTCAATTTGAAGGTTCACCTCATCGTCAATTGTTGCGCTATGGGACAGTGTGCTGCCGAGGTAAGAGAAGCTGTTGACAATTTTAAACCTTTAGCCGTTGACTGGAATGTTGAGCTCGATATAAGGTTTTTATGGATCTTTTTGTACAGGATCTCAGTCTTCTTTGTGTTAATGGTAAGACCTAAGTTTGTGCAGGCATCCGAGAAATGTGTAACACCGTTTTACATAGCGGCCTCTGATTCATTGCACAGTCGTCCGCATGCAGAGAGTCCCTGATGATGTCTGTTCAGATCTTGGATTTAGCATTTAGTCTCCTAAGGTTAAATACTTTATCACCAGTTTGGTATCTGCTTCCGACTCCAATGTACCCCTCTCTGAAAGCTGCCACCTTCCTTGTAAAATTTAGCTGGAATAGAATCATCACCTGGAGCAGTGCCAGTCAAGAGAAGGCACGTAGCATGTTTCGTCTCGTTTAAGGTTCGGTGGGAAGTGGTGGGATCTTCCGTTTCTTGATTGATGGACACCTGCGGGAGTCGATTAATAGCTTCGTAATTAACTAAAGAAGGGAGATTAAGGAAGCTCTCAAAGTTTTATGCCTAGCGTCCGACTCCCCCCCCCCCTCAATAATCAGAGTTTTCTCAACACCCGGATGTGTGGATGATCCTGATGAAGAAATTAACTAAAGAAGGGAGATTAAGGAAGCTCTCAAAGTTTTATGCCTAGCGTCCGCCTCCCCCCCCCCCCTCAATAATCAGAGTTTTCTCAACACCCGGATGTGTGGATGATCCTGATGAAGGCGGGCCGTAGACTTTTTTTGAGAGCGGAGTAGAAATTTCACAGATCGTTTCTCTGCATGGCCCTGGACCATATCAGCCTTTTCACTCAACCATTTACCCTGCATTAGACATACTTTTTGCTTCACCATTCTTCTTCTGTTGACGCCCCGTAGACCCATGAACTGGTTGAGACATCTCTCTAGTGTCACGGCTCCTAGCCCGCCTACCACCGTAGCATTACCGCACCATTGAAAGGAACTTTTTGGGCCATCCCTATTTGCCTTTGATCTGTCAGAGACATTTTTTGTTGACAGTGTCGGAAGCCCTGGTTTGGGCCTACGTAGGTGGAGAAGAGGATCATCTTGTGTTTTTCTTGAAAATAGAATTTGGGGTGTTTAGATAGGAGTTGTAATGGTGGTGTATTTCCTCCAGCAGATGATTGATGTGTTTAGATAGGAGTTGTAATGGTGGTGTATTTCCTCCAGCAGATGATTGATGTGTTTAGATAGGAGTTGTAAAGATAGGAGTTGTAATGGTGGTGTATTTCCTCCAGCAGATGATTGATGTGTTTAGATAGGAGTTGTAATGGTGGTGTATTTCCTCCAGCAGATGATTGATGTGTTTAGATAGGAGTTGTAATGGTGGTATTTCCTCCAGCAGATGATTGATGTGTTTAGATAGGAGTTGTAATGGTGGTGTATTTCCTCCAGCAGATGATTGATGTGTTTAGATAGGAGCTGTCATGGTGGTGTATTTCCTCCAGCAGATGATTGATGTGTTTAGATAGGAGTTGTAATGGTGGTGTATTTCCTCCAGCAGATGATTGATGTGTTTAGATAGGAGTTGTAATGGTGGTGTATTTCCTCCAGCAGATGATTGATGTGTTTAGATAGGAGTTGTCATGGTGGTGTATTTCCTCCAGCAGATGATTGATTCCCATACAGTTTTCATCGAACCAGTCCTTATAGCGGTGTTATACAACATTGCGTTGAGTGATGTCCAATCCGATTAGACGTTGTGATTATCTACAGGTGTGGATTTCAGACGCTCTTCTTGAGCATCCAATAAAGTTTCTGTTTTATAGCCTGGCTCTTCAACTTTGTCGTGTTCATGCGTTTGGGGATATTCTTCCACTGTGGTCGTATTTTGTGTTGTAAGTGAAGGTTGGGCTTGGTGATAAAGACGCGATTGTCTGTCAAACAGTCTGCACCATATACAGTCTTTGTTGCACGCACAACTCCAATGTCCTTCCTTCTGATGATAACATACTCGATGTGATGCTAATGTCTAGAGCGAGTAGGCATCCAGGATCTTCGATTATGCTTGGGTGAAAGACTCTATTAGTTATTAGAGTTTCGTGCTCAGTGCAAGTCTGTAGCAAAAGAAGACCGTTATTGCTGCAGTGGTCCACTCCATGCTTTACCAGTACCCCATTTGAGTCACCAAAAAATGTCAGCTGTCCTGCTTCGGAACACCAGCTTTAACAGAGTAAAGATCCTCGGAGAACTTGGTCTTTACTCCACCTGTATTGGTGATTTTTTGGAGCAAATTAGCTGATGATGGTGAGGCGTTTTCTTCCAGATAAGAGAGGGAGTTTGAATTCCCCTTGGAAGTCCTGCCAGCATGCTCACCAATGCAGATTTAATAGCAAAACCAACACCAGCTTCACGACGTTCTTTGCTTCCTCTGACACCCCAAAGAAAGTATATCCAGAGCCCCTCTCGCAGAGTTTGCTCTTTCCTGCAAGCCAGGAGTCGCTAAGGACTGCAATATGTACAATGTACCTGGCTAGCCCATTTCCCATAAAGGCTGTTTTTGACTGCTATCTAGCCACGTCGTTCTTGTCCATAAAAGTGCGCATTTCCAAGCACGGATTGTTGGTGGGATAGTTTTAATGTTATCTTTTGACTTTTTAGACTTTTTAAAGTTTGAATTTTGATCGCATGCTTAGGGTTCCCTTCAACTAGATAGGGAAGGATGG